ACTAGAATCGGGAGGGGCTGTTCTGGGGTGGAGAAGGGACCAAAGAGGGTTCTTGGTGGCACCCGCTTTTGAGGTTGGGTAACAGAAGTCCCAGAGTGTCAAATTTATTGAAAGTAGTTTGAGCCAGACCCAGGAATGTGGGAGGTAAGTCCTGTGTACTGGTCTGGCCTGGCCTGGGCTTCCTTGGGTAGGTCTGGTTTTTTGCTTAAGTGGCCCCGCCCTGCCCTACCCTACCTGGTGGACTGGGGAAGCTCCCAATGTAGGTAGGTATGTGGAGGGTTTGAAGTCTAAACAATCTCTGCTGACTGTAAATACCTGTGGGGTGGGGTCTTAGAGGCCCTGCTCTTTTGGGGGCCTTCCTCTGCCTAGGCCTGTCTGTTAGTCACAAGCTGCTGAGTGAGCCCTGCCCTTCCCCATTCCCTTTGAGTAAGGGGTTATTTGTGGTGGGAGATGTGGTGTAAACTTCTCCTTCCTTCGCCACACCTGCTCTTCCCACTTCCCTTGGGCTTCTCCAAACAAGTTGTCATGCACCCATTTTGTTTTGTTTTGTTTTTTTTGCTGTTTTCCCACAGAATGCCTCCAGAAGTTTGGAATATGCCCACTTGGGTGATTTCTGTGACGGACAGCTTCCATTTAACAAATCTTGATTGAGTAGTTGTTATGTGGCAGGTATTGGGGACATAAGTTAACCGAGATCCCTGCCCACATAAAACTTGCATTGTGGCTGTCAGGGTGCATCCTGCAGCCCTTTCTCTGCACTCAGCTCCCTGTCCCCTCTCCATCAAGAACTTCCATATGGCTAGGCACCATGGCATGCTACCGTAATCCCAGCTACTTGGGAGGCTGAGGCAGAAAGATGGAAAGTTGGAGGCCAGCCTGGTCAAATTACCAAGATCTTGTCTCAGAAAATAAAATAGGTTGGGGATGTAGCTCAGAGGTAGAATGCCAAGTGGGTTCAATCCCCAGTGCTGAAAAAAAAAAAACAAAAACAAAATTGCATGTGCTTTCTGAGCCTGGTAAGCAGGTGTCTGCACACCAAGAACAGGGTCTTGCTGGCCTAGACCTTTCCTGCATGGGCCTGGCTCCTGCGAATTGAAGCCTACCCACACCTTTTGGCCTTTGTGCAGCATCTGTCTGTGTACTCTGAATTCCACTCCTGCTCTGGACATGCAGCTTAAACACAGCCTTGTTGCTGACCTCTGGCTTGGCCCGTGGAATCACCTTCTGACTTCATTTCTGCCCACTAAATTGTGCCTTTTTTCCTAAAGACATGTCTTCATCTTTGTTACCAGAACAAGCCTCTCTGTCTTTAATGGCCTCTGGTTGTTGCTGCTGAACTTATTCCAAATTAGGTTTTTGACCCAGTTCACACTTGCTAATCTTTAAGCCAAATGATGTTCACACACATATTTCGGGCACCTTAGACTCCCATCTCACATTCTAGTTTCCTCTTTTCTCATGACAAATATCCTGTTGATTCTTTCTTCATCATGTCTTCCATGAAGCTGTTAGTTGCTCCTTTTCCGTATTTTCTGTGACTTCCTCCCAGCTTTGGTGCTTGTGTTCCCGGAACTGCCTCCTGACTCTGCTCTCTGCTCCGCTGACTGGCATTGTTGGCAGTTCTGTCTTCTGTAGTCCTATTGGTTCCCTGGGCCCCTCTGCTTCCCAGGTCTGGTTTTATCTCCTTTGCTCTGGCTACAGGTGGTCAGCACAGTTTTTTACATTCAGTCTTCATGTTGCCCTGCCCACTCCCTAAGCACATGAGCTCCATGCTGCCTTCTGAGGAAGGGCCCAGCCTTCTACCTGCCTCTTTCAGAATCTTACTACCTGGGGTGCCAAGTGTTCTGTGTGAGTCTCTCTTTTTTTTTTTTTTGGTACCTGGGATTGAACTTGGGTCCTTGCGCTTGCAAGGTAGGCGGCAGAACCACTGAGCCAATTCCCTAGCCCAGCTTTCTGGGTTTTAAGTCCCCCCCCTTCCCCCATGCCAGGAGTCAGCCTACGACAGGAGTGTGAGTTCTGGGGTCCTGGCTTCTTAAAAATACATGATCCAGCCTGACATAGAGCTGGGCCTGCAGAGGGAACCCAGAATTGCACCATAACCAGTAGAGTTCCAGGAATGACCTCTCAAGCCCAGATGCTGGGAGTTTGGGCCTGGCAGTATTGGGGCACCTTGGTGCTGAGGAGGCGGCACGATGGCCTTCTGCCACAGCCCCTGTTTCTTTCTTCTTCCCTGTTTCTTCTGGTCTTTGGGAGTGTCTGATATGCTGTCCAGGATCCTTGCTCTCTGCCCTGTCTTTCTGTGTCTCCTGCTCACCACCCCCAAGTCAGTGCCACCTGTTCTGTGATTCTTTCCTAGGCCCTTTCACTGCCTGGAAATATTACTGTGTTGGGTTGCTGTCCTGTCTTCTTGCTGGGCTTTGAATTCTGGGAAGGCAGAGCCCCTCTGACCTCATCTCTGCTCAGTGCTGGGCATAGAAGTGGCATATTTTTGGCTCAGAGAGATACTCAGCAGAGGAACAGCTGGGAGTGACCCAAGTCCCTTCCACCTCTGACCTGCTGTCTTTTGTGGGTCAGGCCAGTTACTGCTTTCCCCAAAGTGACCATGGTATGGGTGCTCTGGACAGACAGGGAAGGGACTGCAGTGTAACCTATTCACATGGCTCAGTAAGGTACTGATCCTGAAAGGCAGGTGGCAGAAATCAGAACCGCACAGTTGGGTGTGGTGGTGCATGCTTGTAATCCCAGCACTTGGGAGGCTGAGGCAGCAGGATTGTCATGAGTTTGAGGCCAGCATAGGCTACATAGTTCAAGGTCAGCCTGAACTACATTGCAGGACCCTGTCTCAAAAAAACCAAAACCCAGAAGAGATGCACCTAAAGGAACTGAGGGTGAGACCAGGAGAGGGGAATCAAGAGCTTTTTAAAAGGCAGCATCCCGTGAGGATTTGAGGGGACAGTTCCCAAGGAGACAGGATACTGTAGAGTCCATCCTCCCCTAATTGTCACCCAGTAGGAGTCCTGAAGACCACACTGCAAGCAGGGGTCACCTCTGAGAGGTTTCCTAAGGCCTCATGATTGGGTCAGGTCATCTCATCTTCCTTATTCCCGGTCTTCTCATTGGTACCCTCCTTGGTTATTTAGGGAGGATCCACTAATCGGTCAAGGTTTCAGGGCCCTGCTATATGGCTGAGGGTATAGAGAGCTGCCCTTTATAACAAAGTGCAGCCCTCCTACAGGCAGCCATTTTAGGACTGGTTGTAGAGGAAGTTGGGTGGGCTGGGTGTTGAATCTGGAAACTCTGGCCTGGAGAACAAGAATTGCCAGATTAGCTGCTCCTGACCCTGGCAGGGCCTGTACCCCACCTGCAGTGGCAATTCAGCTTGTCTCGGCAGCAGACAGAGATTGGCTGCTGGGTACACTCATGCTTTTCCAGGCCTTTGCTGACTAGAAGTCCTAGAGACTTCAGGTGGGACAGAAAGTGCCTAGAATCTCAAGCAAGACTTTTGGGGTCCCAGTGGCCTAGTCCTGTATGAGTGGCCTGCATGATGTCACAGGCAGCAGGCAGGGGGAGTCCTAGGGAGCAGGGTTGAGTTTCATAGCAGAACAGGAGCCCCAGATAACAAAGGACACCTCAGGAGGGAGTATGGAATGTAGGGGTACAGTGAAAGGACTGGAGAAATGACTGCAGCTGTGGCTGTTCCTTCTGCAGGGCTCTGGGTGCCGCCTTCTTCGTGTGTGGTAACTTGGGGATCCCCCACAGCTGTGCCAAAGATCCCCCAGGGTCCTGTCTGAGTAGTCAGTGCTATTCTGGGCTGACTTCACCTCCCTCCCACAGCTCTGGGTGCTGCCTATGGCACAGCCAAGAGTGGCACTGGTATCGCAGCCATGTCTGTCATGCGGCCAGAGGGGATCATGAAGTCCATCATCCCAGTGGTTATGGCTGGCATCATCGCCATCTACGGCCTGGTGGTGGCAGTCCTCATCGCCAACTCCCTGAATGAAAACATCACTCTCTACAGGTGAGCATGGCATGCCCTTCTGGGTGCTGTCTTCCCTGGCAGGCAGGCTGCTAATAGCCCTGTGTCTCTTCTCTTCCCCAGGAGTTTCCTCCAGCTGGGTGCAGGCCTGAGTGTGGGCCTCAGTGGCCTGGCAGCTGGCTTTGCCATTGGCATTGTAGGGGATGCCGGTGTGCGAGGTGCTGCCCAGCAGCCCCGACTGTTTGTGGGCATGATCCTGATCCTCATCTTCGCTGAGGTGCTCGGCCTCTACGGTCTCATTGTGGCTCTCATCCTCTCCACAAAGTAGCCCATCTCGAGCCTACCAGCCACAGAATATTATGTTAAGAACACCCCCTCATTCCAGAACGAACAGCCTGACACACACCCATGGGCCACCGCCCCCTCTGTAGTTGGTCTTGTAAATGCGCAGTGTCTTAGTGCCCATCGTCTGTTGCCCCGCCTGCCCCTCCGCCCCGTGCCCCATGCTGTGGACATCTGGGCCCACTCACCCATCCAGACCCCAGACCAGTGAGGATGCCGGCTCTGCCTTCCCCGACCCCATCATCCTAGAGTGCTCTGTGTATAAGGATGAATTAGAGTTGTCCTTTTTCTCTTCACTGGATGTTTTATTTATAAAGATTTGACCTGTTCATACTTCTGTGGAGCAGCTCTGTCTATCTATATAGTAACCTTTAGGTAGAATGTTACCTTGGGATTCCCAGCGCTGAGACCAAGGATGGACCCACCTTCCCTCCGCCTTCAGACTGCGGAGCTTGGAGGGCAGAGTGCCAGCCCCGCCAGGCCCTGGCGCCATGCTGTGTCCAATAAAGTTCTTGGATGTGACCAGAGCCTGTGTGTCCTAGTGCTTGGCAGGGCGGGGTGGGGCGGGGCGGGGTAGGCCAGGCAGACGGGCCAGCCTTGTAGCTGCGGCACAGCTCTGCTCTCGGCGCCATTGGTCACGTGGTGCCAGTGATCACGTGATAGAATCAGCGTGGCGATCACATGGTGCCTCCGTCAGCTGATGGTCACGTGGTGCTGGGCTGGTTCCTGAACGCCTTGGATCTGGCGTTGCCGGCTTGGGCGGCTCATGATGCGTGGTGGGCAGGGTGCAGAGCGGGCACCGGTGCTCCAGTTTACCAACTGCCGCATCCTGCGCGGTGGCACGCTGCTCAGGTGCGGGGTCGTGGGGCGGGGTGCGGGTCGGGGGTCAGGCAGGCTTGCTGAGCGCCTGCCGCTCCGTTCGCCCTGCAGGGAGGACTTGTGGGTGCGTGGGGGTCGTGTCCTGGACCCTGAAAAGCTGTTCTTTGAGGAGCGGCGCGTGGCGGATGAGCAGCGGGACTGCGGAGGCTGCATCTTGGCCCCGGGCTTCATCGACGTGCAGATGAACGGTGCGGCCCGGAGGTAGAGGGCAGGGCACCCAGGGAAAGAGCTGTGAGCGCTGTGCGACCCCTTTTCTGTGGCCACAGGTGGATTTGGTGTTGACTTCTCAAGGGCCACGGAGGACGTCGGTTCAGGTGTCGCCCTGGTGGCCCAGAGGATCCTGTCTCACGGTGTCACCTCCTTCTGCCCCACTCTGGTTACTTCCCCATCAGAAGTTTATCACAAGGTGAGGTTAGGCTCCTGTCCTCAGGCAGAGAGGGCCCCAGGTGCAACCAGCCCCTTAACTTTGATGCTCTTTCCCTCACAGCACACCCTGGTATACTTGGTTCTGGATCTTGCCTTCCCTCCCTCCAGGGTGGCCTTTCTCCATCAGTTTTCCTTCTGCCTGATCTCTTTGGTGCCTTTGCAGGTGGCTACACACTTGCCTCTCAGCATGCCCATCTGCCACAGGCCCTCCTGGCTTCCTGGACCAGGGTCCACGGGGACTCTTGATTGCCATAATCATTGTCTCTGGTGAGGCTCTTCCTCTCGAACCAGATGTATAACTCACTTCAACACACCTCCTACAAAGACATTCTCCCCCAGTTTCTACGCTACTCTCTCCTGAATCCCTACCCTCTTTCTCTCTTCTTGATTAGAAAGAATTCTTATTCTTGTCTCGTTTTCCTTCTAGTTTTAACTTAAGCTTATTTTCTGTGTATGTTGTCTTTTACAGAATCATTTTAATGTAAATTGCGTACATCATGCATCTTTCATAATACTTAAACTCTTTCTTAAAAATGGGATATTCTGGGCTGGGGATTTGGCTCAATGGTTCTGCCGCCTGCCTCACAAGTGCAAGGTCCAGAGTTTGATCCCTGGTACCACCAAAAAAAAAAAAAAAAAAAAAAAAAAAAAAAAAAAAAAAAA